TATTCTTCCATACCTTACATGCATGCTTTCCTATAACATGGAAATGTCTTCAGGTCTTGGCATTTACCTTTTGTGAACTAAGTCATTTCTTGCTTCAACATACATATTCAAGTTAAGGTTGATCTAGGCGTAACTTTCCCAGTTTTAAATTTGTTAGGAAGATAGCCCTTTTCTTGAAGACATTACACAGTGAGTTTCACCAATAGATCTTGCTCCCAGTGAAGTCAACACTTTGGCATTAGGGAAAAAAAAATCAAATTGATTTGGAATACAGGATCATGAATATTAGTGACTATAGAGCCCGTTATTCCCTGTTCCAGGACTTTCTAATAGCATTCTCTTGAAAAATTCAAGTGCATATTATCATTTGTTGTCTTTATTGTTTATATGTAACATGAGCTAGTTTTTCCAAAAATGTTAATTTCCTCTATGAACTTACCATTTTTTTTTTTATTTCACCGAGAAGCTGCATGAAGTGTGTCTATCATGGTCTGCTGGAGGCAAACTTTGCAGCCTTTTATTGTGATTTGTTCCCTAGCAGATCCAGGAACCATTCCTGAATAGTAGAGCTAAGCCCATTTGTGTTTTATAGTTAGGTTAGGTTAGGTTACAGTTAACTAAAGGGCAAAGAAAAGCCAGTAAGACAGTAAGAACACCAGTTTTAGTGATGTGGTAGGAAAACTAGAGGGAAAGAATTTGCTTCTGGTTGCCTGTAAGATGTTTGTTGTGCCTTGGCTCCTGTGGGCCAAATACTCTTCAGTACACCCTTGCTGTGCAGCAAGAGTTGAATGAGAGACTCATCACAGACTTCTCCCAGTATCACACATGTAGCTATATACATTTCTGTGATATGTTTATTTTTACAATTCTTGAACTGCAATACATTGCATATTAATTGTGTACAACTGGTTTTGAATTGTCTTTAAAAAGGTGCAAATTATGGTTTCAAAGTGACCTGAGAGAGGTGCAAATGAACGTTAGCACAACATTTCAAAAACAGAATTATTTAAAATATATGCACATAGACATGAATTCAGAGTCGGTCTACTTCATTTTTTGGTTGGAGGTTTATTGCCTTAAAATGGGAAATAAATGTGTGAATTCTATCAAGGGTGTGAAATTCTCCATTTGTACTGACTGGAAACTTAATAATTATGAATAGAGCAATAGCAGAAATTATACAAAAGTTTAGCAACATTTTAATTTTAAATGTAAGTATTCTGGGGAAGAGTTTAAAATCTGCTTGGAGACAATTTCCTACAGTCTTTGATATTAAAGAGTTAGTGCTTTTCAAAAAGCCTATAAATGCTAATGTTCTTATGGTTTTAAAATAGAAAACAGCATTGACTAATCCTTTCTATTTCTAAAGCTGCTCATTCAAAGTGTGTCTGAAGCTGATAAACCCATGAGCCCCAACTTAACCCAACCTAAACGAAACTTAACCTTTCTCTGTTCTCACATCAGTGGACAATGGGCCTCAGCTGCAGGGAGCTTTCGAGAAGCTTGCCCAATCTCCAGGCCAGCTGGAAGGCCAGGCTTCCCTACTTTCCAGCCAAATAGATGCTTGGCACCAAGTTACCCTAGGGCAGAGGTTTGAATGAAGCCTGGATTTTGAAGTATCTATCCCTCTAGGTTGATGTCACTGGGAGTCCAAGACCCCTCTTTCATTAACTGGCCTCTCACATAGATGGCAATGATGAGAAAAAACAGCCAACCGCTAAAACAGTTGGTTCTTTTTTATTATTTGCAATTTCATCTATTTGCATGAGAGCCTGGCAGCATATGGCCTGATGAATTAAAAAAAACAAAACCCTGTAAACTCTCATCTACTAGCCAGAGCCTCCAGCTCATGGCATTAGCAGTAGCTAGTGTGCTCCACCTGCCACTTGTCTAGAGGGTGGGGGCATAAACTGATGACCTACTAGGTTTCCATAGCCAAAGAGTGCTCAGCTAATGCCCTGATTTAATTCCTAGCAGTACAGTCAGAAATGGCTGAAAGTGGCAACACCCATGGGTTTCGATAGTAAATCTGATTGGCAAGCTACCTGCTCTCGGTCTTACCTAATATTCTACACTAATTATGCCCCATCAAGCCAGCAGGAATAGTGAGGGAACAGAAGTGCTTCTAATCTCTCACACACAGGCCAGTTATGAGTAGAAATGCATTGGGATGTACACTCTCATCATCATTCCATACTAACAGAGAATAGCAGTCAATCTGGGAAAGAAGCAAATGTCTGTGCAGTTCATCTATTTGCTTAATTACTTTTTATATATATTTGCTTTGAAATTACTTTTCAAAGTTAAATATATATATATATATATATATATATATATATATATATATGTATATGTATATTCTAGATTTTTGTATTTCTGAATTAGCTATTTTCTTAAACCATCAACTTGGAGAAAGAGAATTTATTTTATGCTGTCTTTTGAGAACTAAACCTTTCTTTGCCTTAAACATTTGGGTTAATACTTTATAAACTGAGCCATACATCTTTTTCTCCTTTCAAATTATGTGTTGTTAACAATGATTATATCCGTCAATAAATGATACAAACATGCAAACAGAAACAATGTACAGACTTCCATTAATTAAACAGATTGACATGAAAATTTAAAAAGTCATCTTGAAATTCAATCTCAGTGTGCTAATGAACACATTTTGATCTAGTTTAGAAATGGTTTTTATTTTCTTGCTTTTTAAGATTGCTGAACACGTATATACTAATGACGTGTAGTCAGCATTGCCAATGACCTTAGAAAGGAAGAAATTAATGGGGGAAGAAAGGGTTCTATGACCTTATCAAATGAGGGATTTTCCTGATAAGCCACAGAAGACACACCCAGCCTTGTGAGATTGGGCACATTAGACAATTTATAATACTGAGCACAATGCTTATTAAATGCTAGGTATCATTATCTCACTAAATTCTTAAAATACTTCATAAGACAGATATGGAGATATTAAAAATATTTAATACTAGTAGGACAAGGGCACTGACCAATCAGAATGTAGCATTGAAGGAGAATTTCAGAAGCTTCTCCAATTGTTGAGGGGTTACTGAATTTGATGAGGACTGGAGGATCCTGATATAAAATGGGACAAGGGGACTGGTGTTTTGGGGAGCAGCTCTTTACGAATGTATGGAAATACTTCACTCTTCACTAACCAGCATGGTAATACCTCCATGTGCTGGCTAAAAACAATCCTGGGGCAAGCATTATTTTACAGATGAAGACCTTGTGGCTTAGGATAATTAACTTGTTTAATTTGATTTGAGTCCTTATCTGTCTCACTTCAAATGATCTCTTTTGTTTTATACATGTCACTGCTATAATGTTTCCTTGATTTTTTTTGCTCTGACAAGTTAAATCCATTTTTTTTTCTTGCTGAGGTTGTCTCTAAATAGTGTGTAAAGACACCAGATAAACCACAGTGAGTGAGTCATAAAGGTTGACAGAGAACAGCAAAAACAAACAAACTAAAAAACACCTTCTCTATTTCAAACTCAGTTGGGTCTTTCATATAGGAGTGGTTCATGTTTTTACATGTAATTTGTGGTTAATAAGTTTCCTGAATTAAAATAAGATCTTTATCATTATATTTCTATATAGAAAGACACAGTAGCAGATATTCATACCATCTTTTTAGTTAAGATTCGATTGTAGGTGAGAGCAAGATACTCAACTGTTTTTTAAAATGCATTATTATTTGTTTTCAGTATAATTTAGTTTAACTGATCAGTGAGCAAGTTTTACTTAAATTCAAATGAATAACTAAAGCTTAAACTTTGAAGAACACTTCAAGGTTTAAAGTTTTCATGTAAAGAAATGAAATTTTTATTAAGAGCTGTCCATGGTTATTTCTTCCTAAGGAAATAAAGAGGTTTTGCAAAGAAATTGCAAAGTGATGATAATCAAATTCTCTTCCTTCTTATGGGACCAATCAAAATAAGACTATAGGTACACTAAAATGTATGACCACATTCTATTTAGACACATAAGTTCAAGAAAATTGATTTGACTAGGTAAAACATAGCTACAAACAGTCTCTAGTGTATGAACAGATATCATTTCAAATGTTTATTTATAATTTAATATTTTCAAACTTTGTATGTAAATTTCCAATCTAATGAACTGAAATGGGAACAGATTTGTCCTAAGTTTGACTAGGTAAAATTTATTTCACCTATAATGTACCTTAAGTATAGAACTAATTATGTTTTTGGTCATATTCTCCACATATATTGTTCATAAGGGAATAACATGAATTTTCTCTAACAGACATGCACTCAGACTTCTAGTTCTGACACCAAACCAATCCAGAAAACCATAGTCTATGTCACATCCTCCCATATTTTATCAGGAATAAACCAAGTTCATTAAACAAGAGACTAAAGGGTAAAGTTATTTGTTTAGATTTTCAGTGTGGTTCTAGGAAAATAAAAACACAGGTGCTCCAAATTTAGCACATAGAATTTAAGAATTGGAGGAGCTTTAGGAATTATAAGCTCAACATATCTTTCTAATCTGAATAAGCCAAATGAGAATTCTTTCTTTTTCTTCATTTAGTTCATAAACACAGGTTAAAGCCAAAAAATGTTCACACCTATTTCTGGCACATTTTCCTTGTTGGTATGGCAGATGCTAGCTATATAGCAAGAACCACAGTATATTTGAAGGGCCCCTACCAAGAAATACTCATATTACACTCTAGCCCTTTTAATGAAGAATCCATTCTGTTATCAGGGGTGCAAATAATGGTTCCCAGGCAATAAATATATCTTAAAGAATGCTTGCTTTTTTTTTCTTCAAAAATACAGTCTGTTATAAAAGGCTTTTATAAAAGACTTTTTAAGTTGAAAACATATTAAAAAAAAAAAAAAGCAGAACTCTAAAGAAAATTCAGTGGTCAGAATGCTTCACTACTCAGTGCGTAGGTATAATGAAACACTTAGCTTCCTGATGTTACCCTGGTGTTGACTTCTCAGTTTTAGTGTTTACGGGAGGACCTGGACTTGGTGTCTGAAGTTGCCTGCTCCACAGGAAACCACCTCCTTCTGCTGCTTGCTTTCTCTTGAGCCAACACCCAAAGCCACCATCAGTGTCATGGGGATGAGACTTTTCAAGGTAAGTGAAAAGAAAACAGGAACAAATGTATTTTCACACAGAATTTGCTGAAGGCCTTGGCTCATAGTAGGAAGTACTGCCTCACAGGGATCCCTGTTTGGGGTGTGGAGGGACATACTGTCCTGGTTTATGTGGAATCATATATGGTGTGAGTGAAATGAGACAGATCCCCATTCCCAAGTGCCCTATCTAAGATGGAAGCGGGTTATGTTGTCTAGACTAGAGGAAATGCTTTTTTTTTTCTTTCTTTTTTTTTTTTTTTTTTTTTTTTTTTTTTTTTTTTAGGGAAGGTTATCAGAATTTTAAAAGCCAAATGATGGCTGGAGAGAATAACTAACATTTTATTGACTGCTTGGCTTTTAAAAGGTGTTTCTCCTCTTTCTTTTTGTTTAATTTAAAAAGTCTTCTTTTAACCCCGAGATGCAATTAAAACTTAATTTGTGCCTTATTACATAGCAGGTATCCGTTGGCTTTTATTTATTATTTTCTCCATTAGGAGTTTTAAACTTGAGGTGGAATTAATGTCTCTTCTATGATCTTTTATAGTCTTCTTTTTCACATATATGAGTGTTTCAGAATCCTCTAAAATACCATGAGTTTTAATGTAATATGGATTTTACTATATTGTAAATATTAGATTATTAAGAGTTCCTTAACCCCTTTTAATGAGAAGGAAACACAGACTTGAATAGATATTTGTGGTTCTTATTCTTCAAGGATTTGCCTCCCCTTTTGTGCTTTTTTCTAGGCTGTTCCCACTTTCTTCTTCTTCCTCCTTTGCAGAAGGTAAAACATCAATTTAAGATGATGAAACCAGACATTTTGAGAAAAGTTTGGACAACAATGACAAAGGCAAGCTCCTTTCACTTTGATTTTTACCCATTTATACAGTTTATACATATTTATCGACTTAAGTTGCTTTATCACAATGATACTTGAAAGCCAACAATAGAAATCATCTTAGAATTTTGAGTTGTGATCTTTTCCCTGGCTAGTGATATGTGGTACCATGCTCTCATGATGCTGAACAGAGGAAGTGAGCTGCACTCCCAGGCAGCTGTGCACGGAGAGGATAAACAACTGTCATCTGCAGTTGTTTGCTAAGCTATGGTATTTGGTAGGTTAGGGGTACCAAGTACATTTTGAATATATGAATAAATATGTGGGTTCACCAAGAAATAACCTCATTGTAAGCCAAGGAGCATCTGTATTTATAAGACCATTTCCTTCCAACCTAAGAGAATTCTAGCTCATGTTGATACATAAGTTTTAGCAACTTATCCTATCCAATGCTTTGTGTTGACATAGCCACTCTGATGTCTTCAGTTCTATCCTTGGCAACTATTATTCCAGAGCCCATTGGATCTGAGATTATACCAGAATTTCATCTTTTCTCAGCCTGAGATATTTTTTTACTGTGAAAATCTTACCCACTGGCAGATCTAATTTCTAGATCTCTCTGGATTTGACAGATAAGATAAACTAACAAGAATATTTTGCATTTGTATAGCTTTCATATACAAATATTTTATTCTCATAGGCCTATTTCAAGTTATGAGTAGATTTTGAAAAGCAAACTCAACTGACTGACAAATAGCTATGAGGACTCTGGACCAGCCTATTTGTGTTCTTGGACTGCCCATGATCATTGATTGCTTATAGAAGTGTGATTGCAGTAGTTTTGGGGGAGACAAATCTGACAGTGTCTGTGAACATTTACTGTGACATTTTCTAAAGTTCCTTCCAAGGCTTGCATCACCTGGATCCTGGCCAGAGTGTCTGTCTGACATCCTGGCTTGCTTCTCCCTCACTGTGCACCACCCATGATTGGCTGTCCCCATGGGTTCTCAATCACGTTTTCTCTGTTCTTGGAACTTTGACGCTGGCTACTCTTTCTACCTGGATTGCTCTTAACACTCCTCGTGGCTTACTCCTGCAAGTTGTTCAGATTACTGATCAAATGTCTTCTCAAAGAGGTCTTCCTTGATCACCCCATCCAAAGTATAAAGTAAATTCCCTGTGCCTTTCTATTTCCTTATTTAGCCTCATAAAAATATAACATTATGTTACTTATTAAACTACTGCCTTTCTCCACCATTAGAATGGATATTCTGTGAGAGTAAGAACTCCATTTTTCCCCCCTGCTCTATTCCTAGATTTGAATAGTACATAGAGGGCTTTAAATGAAAACCTACTGCATGAATGAATTGTTTGTTGTAGCAAATGAACAAAAATATAAGCAAAAAGAATACCCATTGGCAGGAGAATGGTTGGATGAATTGTGCTCTATTGATAACATGCAGTATTACACAGTTACTGAGAAGAATGCATTAGATATGTATTGGGAGATTTACAAAAATTATTATTAAGGAAGAAGTGCAGACATAATAGAGTGTATAAAATTAAACTATGACTAATTATCTACCTTCTAGTTATTTATCTTTCTATGTATCTGTTTACACTTGACTACATGAAAATAGGTTCTGGTGGTTATGCATTCAGTTGTAGGCATTGCTATGTAGGGAAAATTGTGCCAGGTGATTGTTGAGCAGGATTTGGGTAAGGGAATCAGAGGGCTGAAGGTTGGCTGAAAGGGGATAGCTAGATAAACTTTCTTTACAACAACTTCATTCAAATCTTTCTTCACTCCTGAGAGTGACAATCTCTGACTCCTGGTAAGTGACTTATTTGGCCCCCACTAATTTCTATCCTTTGAAGTTCCATGTTAATGCTCTAGCATGCTGAAGCACAGGTTCCAGACAGTATACTTAAGCCTTGTCTTGACTACCACTTGGAATCTTTGCATTCTAAAATTTATTTTTCTTTTACTGATTGATGTACTTTACTTTTGTTTGTCATGCAATTGAGTCCCTGATGTTCTTTGGGCTGTTGCCTTTCATTTTTTAGGGGATTCTGCAGAAGGACTACAAAACTGATCCTAGAAAATGTAGGCTTTTGTGGTTTACTAGGGCCCATAAAATCCCTAGAAGGGTGCCTGGGAAGACAACAACACTAAGTCTGTGGTAACATGCTCCACATGCATAAAGGTAGGTCGACAGGGCCCTCTGATAGGCAGTTTGGGAAGCATTATTGTTAGAAAGAGTAAACATTCTGAAAATAAAATGGTATTGTCTCAAAAGCATAAGAAGGCAGAGGCAAAGTAATATGGTTTGAATAATTAATAATACAATTAATGCCCCCAAACCCACATTTTAGGGTAAGAATGAGTTAATTCATTTTATCATAGCTTTCAGTCACAAAATTTCATATTCACTAGTATTGGTTAGTTTTCCATCACCTCTAAGGACAGGGTTGTGTACCTTTTCCACTGTCATTGGATGGTAATTTTCAGGCATCTGTCTACACTTTAAATGAAATAATTTAGAAATACTGGTTCTAAACTTAAGCTTCCTGAAAGCAAGAAAAAAATCCCATAGTGATTTCAATTTGAGAAAATATAGTGGTTTTGCAACAATATAAGTTTGCTATTTCTATCTTTATAGTGTTTTTTTTCTTATTACTATTTTAAAGAGGAATGGTACAACTTGAGAAGAATATTAAAAAGTATCCTAGTGCAATAAGAAACTGGACCAATCCATAATGTCACAAGCCATGTGGACATTATAAAATTAGTTTGAAAATAATGTTTTCTAAGAGAAGAAAAAGATGTCTAAACCTTAAAGTGGGGGAAAAACATCCTAAGAAACTATTTTTCTAGGATTTAGACTTTGAATGATTTTTCACATCAACATATTTATAAAACAAAATTCTTTCCTTTTCTCATAAGTATATATGTAATTGAAGAAGAAAATTAGGGGGCAGTGATAGATTAATGCAGTGTAAGAATTCTGAATTTCTAACACACATGCTTAATAAACACCAAATGACAAAAAATCATAATGGTTCGTAATTGTTTTCTTTCATGATGCACCTTGGACTTTGACATTCACTTATTTAGGGCAGAAGCCTTTTAATTATGTGAACTGGCAGAGCTCAAAAGAAACACATAAATAAATAAAGAATTGCAAATACCCTTTACAATATTCTTTTTTAAAAGCAGGATGGAAAGAAATAAGCAGTATATAGAGGATATGTCAGCTTCATGACTGACCTTTCACTGTCTGTTGCTTCACGTTAGATCCTCTGCATGATGGCTGCTTGTGTGTGTGTGTGTGTGTGTGTGTTCAGCAGTATCATTTTCAAAATTAGACTTCTTGAATTAGGAAAACATGTTAAAATCTCACATTTTAGAATTGTGGGGAAAGTTTGCACCAGTCAATGAGTTGAGAAGCTTACTTTCATTATTAATATGCAACAGTAATTCCAGTTGTGTTCTGATAAAAGTCAATATAGATATTAGTCATCAGCTCCACAACTCTTGATGAGACAGGTTTCTACAGAAAAAAATATGCCCATAAGTATAGATATTAGACATGACCTGAGTAACTAAAGTCAATATAGATATTAGACATCAACTTAGTAACTTTTGACAAGATAGGCTTCTACACAGAAGACTCTCTGGTACTCTAGGGTTTTACTTAACTGTAAAATCTAACATCTTTACCCTTTTTAAAACAAACATTTTTGAACTTAAAACATAATTAAATAGTGTGCTCCAATCTTATTAGTAGAGAAAATTAGTAGTAGAAAATATATTGACTGATTGAAAAGGCCTTTCATCCTGGACACTGAGGGTCACCTCTGGCAAATGTTAGTTACAGTAATTGAAATGAAGATCTTAGCCAGCTGTTCCCTGTACCCTATTATAAATATGCCTTCCAAGCAGTATGCTCAGAGGCTTACTGATAGACAGCTATGGAACGTAGTGCTCCTTCTAAAGGTCTTCACCTACCAACTTTATATTCATAATTGCTCCATGAAAATTTATAATTTTTTATGCTTGTTAAAATTACATGAATATAATTCATTTTTAGTAAAGCTTCACCAGATAATACTAAATAGAATGGCTTTCTTTTTTAACTGTACATATGTACTGTTGTTATCTGCTACTTTATGAATCTAAGAACACTCAGAGAGAAGAATAGTTATAAAAATAATTTTGCTTACAGACCTTGCAAAATGTTTTCAGATATAAAAATTATCACAAAACTAAAAACAGTATGTTACTAGAAGCAGAATTAGCAATATGCAAGTATTTTTACACATGAATATGGAAATTTTAAGCATTTTAAAATTCTTAACTTGAAATCTATTATGTATAGTAAAACTTTTAATATTTTATGACACACATGTATTTTAATATTTTATTTTATGATGCACATGTATTATATTGATTTAATGTTAATTTCTATACTATCTCTTAATCCTTTTCATACTATCTTTTAATCCCATTATCCTTTGTATTCTCCCTCCCTCTCTTTCTCTCTCTCTCTCTCCCCTTGGACACATATATTTTTTTTTCTTTTCCAAATGCAAATATGGGCTATTTTTATAAAAATTTAAAATTTGATATACATATAAAATTTCAGATTATGACTCCCATAAGCATTAACATTTTATTTAAAAAATACAAAGAAAGTATTCTTAAGACATTTAATTTTTTTTTAAATTTATTATATAAGCTAATCAATGATTACATGACATATGGGTATGAAGTAGTAAACATGTTTATTACAAACTATGATTTAGATGAAAAATTTGGTCAGTGAATACTCATTTTAAAAAATTAAGAGAAATTTAGTTTCTTTGTGACAATATGACAAATTCTTCTATTAGTGGCATTTATGTGAATAAAGCCATTCCAAATTCTCTGGGTTCCTTAACCACTAAAATGAACCTCACTGTAGTTACATCTTGGACCTTGTCCATGGAAGTTTAAAGCTCAAAGTATCAGCA